AAACAAAAAAATAGAGGGTGGCTCCTAAAGAACAATACCTAAGGCTGACCTCTGCCCCCCACACAAATATGTATACACATGCATGCTCACCCGTGTACACATGTGTACCTCCACACAAGTTAGTTAATGTTTAAGGAAGCAGGCTAGAAGGATGGCTCAGCTAGTAAATGCACTCACCACACAAGCCTGAGGACCTGTGAGTTCCATCCTCAGAACTCACAGCAGAAGGGACAGAACCAACTCCTGAAAGTTGTCCTCTGACCTCCTCATATCCCACCATGACATATGTGGGCTCTAATTTACATACATGTCACACACACACACACACACACACACACAATAACAATAATAATGATAACCTTATAAGACAGGGTCTCAGGTAGTCCACTCTGGCCTTGAGCTGCTAAAGTCATCCTCCTGCCTCTGCCTCTCAAGTGCTGAGATTTACAGGTGTCCTGACAGGCCCAGCCTCTGAGTCACTCCTATAGAGTCTTCACTGAACACAGAAGACAGTGTCATATTTTTGCCTGTAGGTATGGTCACTTTCTATGCTTCCCATCTGATTATTTGGGGGTTTTGGCTGACTTTACATCAACACATCTATATGTTGGTGCTTAAGGTGATATCCTCTGGACTGGAGAAGGCATTTGTGCTGACAAGTTTTGCCATGCCTGTTCCTCCCATCTGCCAGGACTGTTAAGTGGGATAGATGGTGCTGTCAGTGGTAATCCATAATATATTAAAATTCAGTCTGGTTCTGTGGATTTCACATAATTAGACATCAGCAATGTGTTTTCCTGAGTAAGGACTCTAGACCTGGCAATATAATTACTTAAACAAACAAGCAAAGACCAAGGAATCAAATAAGCTAATGTAGCCAAAACATGATGAGCATGCACCAGAGGTGATGTCTATCAGCCAGCCATCATTACATTCCCCTTGTTTGTCTCCATTTCCAGTGGTCAGAGACCAAAAAAAAGTGTCTCACCAAGGATGCAAGGGTGTTGGTGTGTGGTACCCCAACATCATATCCTAACCCAGTCCTTCATCCCAATGGCTTGATTGTCAGCGTTCATTTTCAAATATGGTTAAATGCACACAGCATACTTGTGAACCCAGATGACATTCAAAATACCCTCAATGCCGTGCAGCTACCGCCTGCACCTAGACAGCACTGTACCCTTTCAGCAACCATTCCTTATTCCCCCTCCCCCCAGGCCTCAGTGTCCAGCCTAACTTTTCAGAACCTCAATTTTAATTATTTGACTCTATGGATTTGTTCACTCTAAATATCTCAGATAATTGAAATGATACATTGTATTCCCTACAGTACATTTGGCTTATCTCGCTTGGTGTATGGTTTTCAAGTTTCATCATGTATACATACATACACATGTGTCTATGTATGCATTTTATTTATTCACTCATGTGCTGGCAAGCATTTTAGCCATTCTCACCTTTTGGCTATTGTGAAAAATGTTCTTTTGCATATGCACATATGGGTGAGAGTACCTGTTTGTAGTTTTTACATGTGTAGCTAGAAGTGGAATTTCATGAATTAGGGTTGTGTTTAACTTCCCGAGGATCCTCCAGACCATTTTCCTAGAATTGGCATCTCATTCTGTGGGATCGTAAATTTCTATTTCCTTAGATCCGCTAAGCAATTTTCTCTAAAAGATTCCAAGCCTATTAAAAAACTTGAGAGTACAACCTACCTCATGTGCCCATCACACACCTCCCAGAAGCATTCCATTAGCCGTGCGTGCTCCACCCCATCCATCCCATTCACTGCTGTGAACTTTTTAAATTTTTTTCTATAGAATATATATTTTAACTTTCCACTTATTTAATATGTGCAGGGTGTGGGAGGGATGTGGTGGCCTGTGGAGGTCAGAGGACAACTTGAGAGAGTCTGCTCTCTTCTTTCACCATTCCAGTGTGGGAACCAAACTCAGGCTATCAGGCTCAGGGGCCAGCACCCTTTCCCATGGAGCCATCTTGCTGGCCCAGCTAGAATTTTAAAGCAATTACCAGACATCAAGCAATCCCCTCCCCCTCTCAACTTAAATACATCTAAAATAGGAAGGAGTATCTTTTTGCATAAATCAACATAACAAAATTAACATGAATTCCTTAATACCAATCAGTTTGTAATCAAGATTTACTTAAAATATAGTCTCTCGTTTGATTGTTTTATTTGATTAATTTATATGTCTTTTTTAGGAGGGTGCTGAGTCTGGAGCTTAAGGCCACACATGTGTTAAGCATATACCCTGTCATTCAACTGTTCCCCAGCCCTTAGTGTCCTAGAGGTTGGCTCTAATCTCCCTCCCCTTTGTCTATGCTATTGTCTCCTGGAAAAAAAAAAAGGTCAAATGGATTGTAGAATGATGAAACAATTTCTACCTTATGGTATTTCCCTCCCTCCCTCCTCATTGCTTCCTCTCTGCCTCCCTCTCCTTTGGCAAGGGTTTGGTGTGTAGCTTGGACTAGCCTTGAACCCGCAGTCTTCCTGTCTCAGTCCTTTCTCCCGGGTCCTCGGATTTCAGGTACTTCGTACAGTACCTGAGTAGACATACTTGTAAACACTTTCTTTCACTCTGCCAAAGTGACATAGACATTTTCTACAGCTGTCACTCTCAAGATTTAACATCACCTGTGAGAATCACCTGATACATTTTTTTCCATTAAAAATAAAGTACAAATCCCTGGCCTTTATGCCTCTCACTTCATCCTGGACCCTCAGCCCTAGAAGGGCCACGAGGAGATGTAGGTGGCAGTGAAGACATCTGCAGTTTTAGATGCAGATTGGAGACAGGCAGTCCCCTCTGAGGAGTCATCACCCGTGTAGAGACCGAGTGTATCAGCTCATCTTGCTTTCTGACTAGAGAAGCGTCCTGTTCTGGGAAAGGATCCAGAGTGTCAAAATGTTCTGGTGGAGTGGGGAGGGTTAGGGAGAAGACAAAAACCAATACCATCATCTTCCCAATTTAGCCACTTCAGCCAGAGAGCATTTAAAGGATACATTAAGGCCACCAAGAGCCTTTGCATGCTGGAGTGAAGAATGAGATCATCGCACACTGACCACACATGAGGACGTCAGTCATAGGATAGGGACACATTTGCATGAGATTCTTCTGTACTGGAAACTGGCCTTTTCTCCTCCACTTTCCTCTTTACTCATTCAATGTTATTTTCATTAGTACTGACTTGTAGGTTCTTATTCTACACATTGGGCTATAATCCAATATTACTCTCCCACTTCCAACCCCCTCAAATTATTCCAGCATTGGCTACTGGGAGATCACTCACTCAGCTACTGAGTGGTACCCTGTTGACATACAGCATCAACTGGTAATCTGTTTGGCCTTAATCACTTCTTTACCTCTGTCGTGGCTGGACACTCCAGCTCATCTCCTTTACTTTCTGCCCCAGACTCAGAGTGAACCACTTCTCCAAGGATCCCTGGCTCCTTTCATTATACAATGGTTTTATCAGCCAAGATCTGAGTGCCAGAGGCACTTGCTGCTTCTGGAGTGCCAATGCTTTCTGCCCCCCTCAGATGACTGTGCCAGGAAATATGTGTATGTTATATGGTAGTAGGTCTTAATTGACAACTTGACAGGATGTCGTCACCATGGAAATGCTCCTATCTATGATAGGGCTTTCAGAAAAGGTTAACTGAAGATAGAAGACCCATCCTGAATGTGGTTGGCACCATCCGAGGGGCTCAGGTCCTACATGGAATAAAAATGGGAACTTGAACTGGGTACCAGCATTCATCTCTCTCTGCTTCCTGACTATGGAGGCTATGTTATCAGTACTAAAGGTATGACTTAGATTAATAATAATAATAATAATAATAATAATAATAATAATAATAGTAATTTCCTCCAGGCCAGTCAGGACTACACAGAGAACACACACACACACACACACACACACACACACACACACACACACACACACTGTAAAATAAACTAAAAAACACAATACAACTGTTTATAGGCACACAATGATCCACAAGTCCTAGGAACTAAATTGTTACAAATGACCCGCCACACAGCCGCCTTGCCTCATCTCTCTTATCCCCAAGAACACAAAGAACTGAGTTTCTGTAGCCAAGGAACATTTATTATTTAAATGACTGAGGCATAGATGACATACACAACTCACAAAAACATCTGTGAACACCATTCAGTAAAGTGCTTGCCTTGCAATCACATAGACATGAGTTAATCCCCAGGACTCACATACAAAAAAAAGAAAGAAAAAGAAAAAAAAAAAAAAAAAACTTAGCTTCCTCAAGGACTTCTTGCTATTTACCTCTAGATAAGTGCCCCTCTCAACCCTCATCAAATGAGCTTCTTTTTATAGTAGATGTCAATCAACACAAATACCCACAACAGATCAAGGTGCAAAGAATAATAAATTGCAGAGGGCTCAGACTAAATGGGACAGAGATCACACTCCTTCCTCCCAGGGTCCAGGGAATGTCGAGGAAGAGTAGGTGGGAAGGCTCTAAGAGGCAACAGATGAATACAATGAAAGTTTTCCAGACAATACAAGACATCTTCACAGATGAGCTCATAGTGGTCGGACAGGGTGCACAAGGCCTGCACTAGCTCACATCAAACACAATCCCAGCATGGAGAGGGGGAAGTGGGCACCCCTAGCCATTGATAGTTCCTAGGAGAGGGGAGTCCATTTCATTAAGGTTGTTGTCCTTTGTAGACCAACCAGGCTCCAGTGGATGAGGATGATCCCATAGCCCCCCTGAGAAGCACAAATCAGACCTGATAGCTTTTTTTTTTTTTTTTTTTTTTTTTTTTTTTTGTTTTTAGGAAGACACAAAGTTGGTTAGGTAGGAAAGTGAGGTAGAGTTGAATGAAAGGGCTGGATATGATAAAAAAAAAAAACAAAAACAAAACAAAAAAACAAAACATTGTATGTCTTTCACAGTGGTGTGTGTGTGTGTGTGTGTGTGTGTGTGTGTGTGTGAAGGTGATTCCCTCAAGGAGCTAATGTGCCCTTCTCAGGAACTTGTCAACTTGGAAGAAAACCTAGCATGCCTAAGGTCCTTGCAGAGCAAGGGATGCTTGTTTCTTATGCCTTCCTTTGATGGCCTACATATATGATTAAAAAATTGTTGCCAGGCAGTGGTGGTACACACCTTTAATCCCAGCACACAGGAGGCAGAGGCAGGTGGATCTCTGTGAGTTCAAGGCCAGCCTGGTCTACAGAGTGAGTTCCAGGATGGCCAGGGCTACACAGTGAAACCCTGTCTCAAAAAAAAAAAAAAGTGTGTGTGTGTGTGTGTGTGTGTGTGTGTATTTATTTATTTATTTATTTATAAAATGCTAGGTTCTCGTTCACCCATATCTCAAGCTGCCACAATTTTATTATTCTATAAAATGACTATATTTGAATGAGTAGGATGGTAAATGTGCCTGCTGCCAACCTGGCCAACTGAGTTCCATCCTTGGGACACACATGGCTGGAGGGAAAAAACAAAAAAACAACTCCTGAAAGTTTGGGAAAGAATTGGGAGGTGTGGCTTCATTGGACAAGGTGTGTCACTAGGGGTGGGGCTTTGAGGTTTCAAAAGCCCATGCCAGATCCAGTCTTGCTTTCTTCCTGCCTCCACCTTGTGGATCAGATGTAAGCTTTTATTTACTGTTGCAGGGCTGTGCCTGCCTGGTTCCTACCATGTTTCTTATCGTGATGACCATAGACTAACCCTGTGAAACTGGAAGAAAGCCCCAATTAAATTCTTTCTTTTATAAGTTTCCTTAGTCACAGTGTCTCTTCCGAGCAGTAGAACGCTGACCTAGACAGGTAGCAAGTGCCTTTACCCACCTAGCCAGCTCAACAGCCCCTATTCATCCCTGAATTTGAAACTCGCTCAAATGATTGTACTCAATAAACGCTAATCTTACAATTCATCTTCTGTAACTATCTGAAGTTTTAAAGTAGACTTGGGGCTAATGTTCAAATTATTAATGGAAATTTGTTTTGAATGGCTTGATTTACTTTCTGGTACAGAACATTTATTTTAATAAATTTTTAAAATTAATCAGATTCTCTTGGTTCCTTTAAAGATTGGTATTTGTAGTGTATAGTTAATGAGAAATAATTCCTACCTTGGCATTTGTCATTACCATGAAACTGGGGATTTAAATGGAGAATGGTCTGTGAGCTTAATTGATTTAAGATTAATTATCCCACCTACTTAGGAGAAAAATCCCAGTTTCTTGGGTCTTTGTGGCTTCCTGTATTATCATTTCTGCCATTTTCAAAATGTTAAATGTACTTTGCTGGTCATCATGGGCTTCTCCCTAAGGGGTCTTAGTCTCTCTCCACAGCAAATGTCTGAGGTCAAGGCTACAACACATTAAGAAAAGTGGGTGGGTACTGTGGGTTCTTCCCTCTCAGAGGAGAATAAAACCAAGGAGATAACAGGACTCCCTGGCACTTAAGAAGACATGAGAGAATTGTCCTTGTCACAGTTCTTCTCACCCTGCACAGTAACTTAGCCATATTATTACTAGAAGAGTTCAAGAAAGGACTAGAGATGGGGGGGGGGCTTAAGAAACAGAATAGTTATTATTTAACTCATATACTTGTTTTTGATAACTTAAAAAAAAAAACCCAAGGCATAGGGAAATGCTAGAAAAGCATAAGTTGAGAAAAATCTAAATCCTTGGCATTAACAAATGGCCAACACCTGTAAAAGCACTCCTGGGAAAGGAATAAAGAGGCAGAGAAGGAAGCCTACAGCAACTTCAAGACTGCACCATACGTGAATCTTCAGGGGGATAGTTCAGTTGGTAATGTGCCTGCCATACAAGCAAAAGGACCTGAGTCCAACCCCCAGCACCCATGTAAATTTATACTTCAGCACTGAGGGGAGGAGGGAAGATGGGTAGCTGGGGTTCACTGGAGCCTGGCTAAAATCATGAGCCATGGGTCTCAGTGAGAGCCCTGTCCCAAAACATAAGGGAGATGGTGTCCAAGGAACAACTCTCAAGGATGACCTTAGGCCTAGTATATATGGAACATACACAAGTACACTTATACACACACACACACACACACACACACACACACACACACACACACACACACACAAATATTCAGAGTCAGAGAAATATGAGAATACCAAAGAGGTGGAAAATTCACAGATGACGAGAACCCCCAATCCCAAACTTAAAGGATATAAATATCCTAGTACATGAGGACCAAAAGGTCACCAGGCAAACTGTCCTTTTTTAACCCAATCAAGTGTGTTACAAGCACAGGTAGGAGATAAGAAAGTTCTTGGAGTAGTAAGAGGAAATAACACAAGGGTGTCTCAGTTCTGACAAACAGCTTCATAGGTGTGGGGGGGAGCGGATCCTTATCGGCTACAAAAGAGTGCATGAGATTCTCAGTGCTTAAGGAAAGAAACTGTTACCCGGAAGTGACTTTTCTGGTGGCATCTAAGTCTAGTCACCCCAAATGAAGAGGTCCATGACAGCCTGAAGAAATTATTCCAGCCAAGTCCAGCTTAATGAACAATGGGTTTATTAGGGTTACCTACAAGAGCAGGGTGAGGTGACTCAAAGCCGCTGCATCACTGAAATCCCACTCCAGTGTGGGTGACACTCATGGAAACTCATGACACTCATCACAGTAAACTGTCCACCTCCTGTGTGCTTTGGTACCTGCCATGACCACATGCACCTAAGGCTGGATTATGTACAGCTAGGGGAGGCAGGAGGCAGCGAATGGCTAGCATCTCAGTGAAGGGTCTGGTGACTCACATTCACTTCCTTCTAGGCATGAAACTGTGGGGATTTTGTGTGAGCTATCATAGCTATTCTGGCTCAAGAAGTAACCATTGTCCCCAGAGGACAGATTTCCTTATCAAGCAAGAACACTGTTTCCAGCTAAACTATCCTTTAGAAATGGACAAATAGAAAGGATATTCCCAGTCAAACAAAAGTTGAGAAACTATATATTCACATGCCCTATACAAAATGCTAAAGGGAGCTCTTCAAACCAGAAGACAAGACAAAAACAGAAGAATGTTTTAAAGTTACTTGTAGTGGGAGAAATGGTTCAGGGGTAAATACACCACCTGTCTAGCCTAATGACCTGAGAGCTCTTCCCAGGACCCACATGCTAGAAGAAGAGAACCAAGACCTGCGAGCTGTCTTCTCATCTCCATACAGTGGCATGTGTGTAAGAGAGGAGAGGTAGGTAGGAGAAAGATTGCAAATAAACAACCTATGACTGCATCTCAATGAACTAAAACATATCAAAACAAATGCTGAATTAATAAAAGAAAAAATAAAGGTCAGACAGAAATACATGAAACACAGACTTAAAGAAGACGAAAGAAAAGCTGGCTCTTCAAATAGGTAATCAGAGCTGTGAAAGCCTAAGCCAGAATAAGAGAAAGGGAGGCTGGGGATAGGTAGAGCTCAGCTGGAGAGCAAGTGTGGGGACTCAATAATACCCAGGTACAGGGTGGGGGCAGGGGTAGAGGCGAGGATACAAAATGTGATGGCATTGCAACTGACAATTCAGAAATGCAGCCAATCATTAGAGAATGTTAAGAACAATTATATTCCAACAAATTTCACAATCTAGAAGAGATGGATAAATTCCTAGACACATACAGTTTACCAAGACTGAATCATTAAGAAACAAATAATTAGCCTTTAATCCTAGCACCCTAAAGGCAGAGGCAGGTGAATCTCTGAGTTAGAGGCTTGCCTGGTCTACAGAGAGAGAGTTCCAGGAGAGCCAGGGCTGTCTAGGGTATGTGGATGGGGGATTGGAGAAAAAAGAAACTAATTATTAGTAACAGGTAATGAGATTGAATTAGTAATTTAAAAATATCATCTACCAAAGAGAGCTGTGCTATTGGGTATGTACCAATCTCAAATTATTTGAAAAAAAAAAAAACTTGAAGGAAGAACATGTTCTATGAAACAAACAGAACTCTGACACAGAACCCAGATAAGGGCACCAAAAGAAAGAAAATGACAAACCAGTATCTTTGATCAATACACATATAAACAGGCCAGTGAAGTACTACCAAGCTGAGTCCAATGGCACAATAGAAAGATGATTCCCAGTGTTCAACATAGGCAAATCAATAGACCTGATATAGCATAGGAGCACAACGGAGGACAAAAGTCAGAGGGTCATCTCAGTAGTTACCGAAAATGCATTTGATGAAGGCAATTGCCATAGAAATGCTGAGCAAATTAGGATTAGAAAAATCAGGCCTCCACATGACAAAGGCCACACCCACCAAGTCAAGAACTAGCAATATACTCAGTAGTGAAATGCTGCCAACCTGTGTTCCCAGGCCTAAACTAAGACAAGGGTGGCAACATTCACTGCTTTTATTCACCTTGTTACTAGATGTATTTGGCAAAGCTAATAGACAAAAAAAAAAAAAAAAAAAAAAAAAGCTCGAAAGGGACAGAGAGAGAAAAAATAATAATATCCAAAAGAAAGTTGTTTGCATGTGATGTAATCTTTTGGGGCCAGGCTCTTTCTACAAAGCCATGGCTGGCATCTAACTTAACAAAGACCTTCCTGCTTCTGCCTCCAGCTGCTGGGGTTGAAGGCAGGTGCCACCACATCCGGCTCTATGATGTGATCTAATGTATAGAAACCCCCAAACACCCCCACCCCCAAGAAAGACCCCCATCCAAAACACAGACCCCCCACGCCAAAGACAGATCCCTCACCCTAAAGACAGCCCCCCACTCCATAGAAAATATTAAAACAAACAAACCCAGCAAAGATTCAAGATACAATGTCTGTATAACCACCACAACAAAACACCAGGACACCTGAGGACACTGGGGTTTATAAGGCTGTTTACACAAGATTCTCTAGAGTACAGGGAACAAAAAGAGACAAATGGATTCCATCAAAACTTTGTATATCTTTGCAACAAAGAAAAGAATCATCAGAATGTAGAGACAACTTAGTAATCAGAGAAGAAAACTGCCAAGAAAACATCTCACCAGGGTCAAATGTTCAAAATATATTAGGAGCTTAAACATCTTAATGGAAAAACAAATAATCTAAGAATGGCCAACAGATCAAATGGACATTTCTCAAAAG